TGATCCTCCTGCCTCAGCCTCCCAGGTAGCTGTCACTACAGGTGTGTGCCACCATGCCCGGCTGATTTTTAAACACATTTTTGTAGAGAAGAGGTCTTGCTGTGTTGCCCTGGCTGGTCTTGAACTCCTGTCCTCAAGTAATTCTTAATGGGCCATTGTACCCCGCCCCTCCTACCTTCTTTATTCTCATTTGACTTAAAGGTAATTCAGGCTTGATATTTTAAAAATGTTCCTTGAATTTGGCCAGGCACGGTGGTGGCTAACGCTTGTAATCCCAGCACTTTGAGAGGCCGAGGCGGGCAGATCACCTGCAGTCAGGAGTTCGAGACCAGCCTGGCCAACATGGTGAAACCCTGTCACTACTAAAAATAGAAAAATTAGCTGGGTGTGGTGGTGCACGCCTGTGGTCCCAGCTACTCGAGAGGCTGAGGCAAGAGAATCGCTTGAACCCAGGAAGCAGAGGTTGCGATGAGACGAGATTGCAGCACTGCACTCCGGTCTGGGCAATAGAGCGAGACTCTGTCTTCAAAAAAAATTACTACGTGACAATTAACAATTCTGCTGTAGGGCAGAAAATACGCAAGAGGAACTCCGAGAATTCCAGGAGGGAAGCCGAGAATATGAAGCTGAATTGGAGACGCAGCTGCAACAAATTGAAACCAGGAACAGAGACCTCCTGTCCGAAAATAACCGCCTTCGCATGGAGCTGGAAACCATCAAGGTGAGGGGCTGAGAGGAAGTGTGCTCAGGTGTAGACAGGCTTCCAAGACAGGCATGGCAGGCTTGGCTAGAAGAAGGAACCCTGCAATGAGGGACTCCGGACCCCCGGCCTATGCTCATCTCTGGAAGGGCCTATGGGGCAGACGTGATCTTTGAACTCTTTGTGCTTCTAGTGGGTGATGCTTTTTGTTTTTTCTTTTTTGAGACAGTTTCACTCTTGTTGCCCAGGCTGGAGTGCAGTGGCGCGATCTCGGTTCACTGCAACCTCCACCTCCCAGGTTCAAGTAATTCTC